GTATGAGTTGCATCTCAATGTAAAGAAAACTAAAATCCTTACCACTGGACCAATAAACAACATCCATATCAATGGAGAGAAGATTGAAGTTGGCATAGACTTCTTTTTGCTCAGATCAACTATGAACACGCATGGAAGCAGAAGTCAAGAAATCAAGCGAGACCTTGCTTTAGGTAAATCTGCGGCACAATACCTCTTTAAAGTGTTCAAAAGCAAAGATGTCAGTTTGAGGACTAAGGTGCACCTGACCCAAGCCATGGTATTTTCAGTAACCTCATCTGCACGTGAAAGTTGGATAGTGAACAAGTGAAATCACAGAAGAATTTATGTATTTGAATTATGGTGTTGGAGGAGAATAATGAAAGTTCCATGGACTGCCAAAAGAACAAACAGATCTGTGTTGGAAGAAGTACAGCCAGAGTGCTCCTTGGAAGCCAGGATGGCCAGACGTCATCTACCATACTTTGGACATATTGTCAGGAGGTACCAGTCATTGGCTGAGGATACTATGTTTGGTTAAGGTGGAGGGTCAGAGAAAAAGAGGAAGACCCCTGGCAAGATGGATTGGCACAGTGGGCTCAAACGTAGCAACAATTGTGAGGTTGACCCAGGACCGGGCGGTGTTTCATTCTGCTGTGCAGAGGGTCGCTATGAGTAAGTACTGACTCGGTAGCACCTAGAACAACAACAACAACAGCAATTTTTACAGGAGCAGATTTCCAGGTCTTTTCTTTCATTGAGCCTCTGGGTTATTTTGAGCCACCAACCTTTTCATGAGTAGCCAAGCACTTCACAGTTGCGTCATTAGGGCTCCGTTCCACTTGCATAGTCATCATATTATACTGGGTCACTGATACCACGTGCCTGCTCTGGGCTAGACACAGAAAATAATGACAGAAAGACATCTTGTCTGGCTAACCAGAAATAATTGCATTTTAGACCCTGTGTAGTGGTTACGAATTGGTCAGCAGTTCGAAACTACCAGCTGCTCCGCGGGAGAAAGATGAGGCTTTCTGCTCTCGTAAAGATTTACTGCCTTGGAAACCCTGTTCAGGGTCGCTATGGGTCGGAAACAACTCGACGGCACTTAACAACAACAACAACATATTGCCCTGGATTCCTGATTATACATGTAAAAATTGTTGAATTGGCAAATGTTTTGTCATATATATATATTTTAGTACAACAACAAAAAAAATTTTTTTAAGACAAATAAGAAACAGCTCAGGCAGTTTTTTAAGACAATTTGCCCAAAATATGACTCTAAAAATTACTTTAAGTCATTTTCTTCCAAAAGCTTAAAGCCCTTTACTTTAAATATCTGATGACCACCAAATTTACATTTTAGGTCTCAATTTCTGCCCAGAACTTCCAGTGTGTATATGGCCTACTCAGCATCTCCACTTGTTTATCAAACTGGCTTCTCAAGCTTAACTAGTCCACAACTGAACTTTGACTTCCTTCCCAAACATACAAACCCAAACCCCTTGCCATGGAGTTAATTCCAACTCAGAACAAACCTTTAGGACAAAGTAGAACTGCTACATAGAGTTTCCAAGGCTAAAATCTTAACACAAGTAGACTGCCACATCCTTCTCACATCGAAGGCTGGTGAGTTGAAGTCACTGACCTTTTGTTTAATAGCTGACTGCTTAGGCACTATACTTAACCTAAACCTGCCTGCCCCCATCTCAGCAAATGACAAATCCAGTCTTCTAGTTGCTCCACCCCAAAACTTGTGTCATCCCTTACTCCTCTGGTTTTCATACCTTTCATCTGATTTATCAGCAAATAGCAACCAGACTGCTCACCACCTCTGCTATTGCCACTCTAAATAGACTATCATCATCATGTCTAAATGGACTGTTGCAATAGTCTCCAGACTACCTGTCTTTGCCACCCTCCCCCCACTCTGTTTCTCACACAGTAGTCAGAGTGATCTTTTTAAAAACTAAGACAGAGAATGTCTCCTCTCAGCTTAAGCCCTCCAATTAGGTCTCAAAATCCTTAAAGTAGTTCATAAAGTCCTACAAGAACTGGCCCCTGATATTTCTCTGACCTCATTACCATTCCCTCTTTGCTCCTTCAGGTCAGCCTCACCAGTTCTTCCTGGTCACCCCTTCCTCAAGGTTACTGCATACAGTTTGCTTCCTCACGTCCTTTGGGTTTCTGAGCAAATGTCCATTTACCACATTTCAATTTTTCTCATAGCATTTATCATCTGATTCACCTGCAGACATTACCATGTTTGTTCTGTCGTTGCTCCTCCCAGTAGAGTATAAACTGTAGGAAAAGGGTGGTAGAAAAAATATAAGACGTCCATTTAACTTTCAGATAATCAACAAATAACTTTTTAGTATGTATCCCAAATGTTGCATGAGGCATGCTAAAAAAAAAAAAAAGTTGTTAATTTGAAATTCAGACTTTATTGGGTGTCTAGTCTGTTGTTGGAGTCCTGGTGTGGCGCTGTGGGTGAATAAGGTGGACTGCAAAGTTGATTTGAACCATAGGATCGGCGGTTCAAGCTCACCAACCGCTCCTCGGAAACCCTATACAGGGTCACTATGTATAACACTATGCAAAAAGGCAGTGACAGAAGTTGTTCGGTTCATTGTTGTATCCCCAGCTCTGGCATAGTTCCTGGCACATAGCAAGCGCTCAATAAATAATTATGAAATGAATCTGTACCCCTAAACCAAAATCCCAACTCATAACGACCATAAAGGACACAGTAGAACTACTCCACAGCTTTTCCAAGGCTGTAAATCCTTACGGAAACAGACTACCACATCTTTCTCCATGAATGCATACAGTATTTCATTAATCTAAAATGCACCTAAACTTTAATAAACAATGTGAGTCTAAGGGGTGGAGCCACTAGCCTGGGTTAATCCAGCTCACTTTCGGAAATTGACCCAGCAGCTGGCTGTTTTTCCTTACCCCGCCTCCGCTCGCCAAGGGACAAAACACCGCCTCTGCTCTTGCTCGGGTGAGCCGCAGGACCCAGGGGCGTGACCTCCTCAAACAGCTGAGCGCGGCCCAGACTTCACCAAAACCAGGGCCCCTTTAACACCCCGCCTCCCCGCTAGCACTTGCGTTCTCGCTCATGACGTCACCCCAGCGGGAGGCCAATAGAAGCGCTGTTTACTGGCAGGCGGCGCCAGCGGCTGCTGCCAAGGGGGAAGTAAGCTGAGGCCGGAGTGATGGCTCGGCTCTGGAGCCCTTGGCCGCGGCTGCCCCGGGAGCAGCCGCGGCCTGAGCCAGGGCGGGGACAGAAGTCGCAGCTGGATTGGGGGCGGCGCGTGTGATTTGCCGAGAGTCGCCCGAGCCCTAACACCTCAAACTCTGAGTACGAGCTCTTCAGGTGGGCTGAACTGGGGTCGCTCCTCAGCACCGCTCCCCAAGGCCCAGGCAGCAAGACTGGGTCACCTCAGGCGCGGGACTGGCTCCTTTGAGGCCAAGCCCCCGAGCTGGCTCTGGATCTTCCTGTCGCGGGCTCCCCTCAAACTCAGGACAGGGGCCAGAGAACAGTGATTTTTCCAGAGCAGGGCTGCCTAGCTTGAGCATTTCCCCAGCGCACAGGGCAGTGTCGGGGTTGTGGCGGCTAGGAGTCCCCTCCTGCTGCCCTTGTCCAGCCTGAGAGGGGCTAGCGCGTTCCCACTGCCTTGCTCTGCGCTCTCCTCTCTCCAAAGTTTCTTTTTTTTCTCCTTGGAAATCCTGCTCTGAAGACCCCAAACACCTTATCTGTGTGTCCTTCCCCAACTCAGCTCGTAGAGAACCCTTAGAAGTATTACCTACTTGTTGTTGTTAAGTGCCGTCGAGTCGGTTCCGACCCATAGCAACCCTTTATAGGGTTTCCGAGGAGCAGCTGGTGAGCTTGAACCGCCGAAATTGCGGTTCAAACTGCTTTGCAGTCTGGTGCTTTAAACCACAACACCACACAGGACTCCTACTTATCAGGGCTGAAAATCATTCTTGATTTGACTTTTTTTCTCTTTGGGGTTGTTTTTTGGAAAATAAAAAGTTGCTCTCTTTCCAGCCTTTTAAATAACTGTTCCAGGACCTTATCCATTTGGATCACTGGCTCCCTGGCTACTTCTATGTGACTTCTCCCAAACCATCAGAGTCCAAGTTGCCTCTGGACTACAATCTCTAGCTCCCAGTGGATCTGGTCAGTCCCACCTCTGGGTGGGAGTGACTGGGGGGGCTTCAGCCCAGAATTGCCCACCCTGGAAGGCAGCTCCAAGGTGGCCAGAGAATTGGGCGTTGGGTACGAACCTGGCAGCTCAGGAGTGGGCGGTCCACTCACTCCACATAAGAAGATGAAAAAGCGCAAAGAACTTAATGCATTGATTGGCCTGGCTGGGGACAGCCGGAGAAAGAAATCCAAAAAAGGCACAGGCCACCGCCTGCTTCGCACTGAGCCGCCTGACTCAGACTCTGAGTCCAGCTCAGAAGAAGAGGAGGAATTTGGTGTAGTTGGAAATCACTCTCGCTTTGTCAGGTGAGTAATGCTGTATTGAGGGAAGGGATGGGAAAAAAGACATCCTTGCAATACCAAGAGGCAAATTTAAGGGAAGAAAATCAGATCTGGACATTGAAAAACAAAGAGGAAAGGGGTTAGGCAGAAGACAAGTGCAGGTGCTGAGTGAAGGGTAGGTTAGGGATCTGTCTGTAAATGTGAAAAGAGAAGTTCAAGATCTAGGGTGGAAGCTTGGACTTGGGGGATACATCTAGAGTACAGGGAGGTCTGGGTGAAAGTAAAAGACATACTAAGAACAGGGACTTAGAGGCAGAAAAGCTTTGGGAATTAGGCCTCTAAGAAAAATGTAGAAGAGACAGGACTCTTCAAACTGCAAATTAACTTAATTTTTGTACTCTCAATGAATCTGGATCTTGGTGATGGGGAGATAGGATGCACAACGTAGTGTAAGAAGTATGAAACTTGAGAGTAAATGAAAGGTTGAAACTAAAAGAAGTGGCAACTTTTACCCCAAACACTTTTAGATGGAGTGGTCACTGGACAGATCAAGTAGTAGTGAGCTTTGAGGACATTGGGAATTGGGTCTCAGAGAGGAAAATTGCTGAAGGGAACCTTGAAGGTGCCTTTGGACTCTCTCACCGAGCACACAAAGGATAAAAGGATTCAGCGAGGACTAGGCAGAAGGTTAGGATGCTACAATCTTTGGGATTTTTTTTTTTTTTTATGTTTTTAAAAAAATGCCCTTTTATTTTGTTAAATGAAGAGTTTGGTTCTAAAGAGTTAAGTCAAATTAGGTAGTTAGAACCATCTTGGGTTTGGAGTCTGAAAGTTACCCCTCTGCGTTAGTTCAAACCTTGAGTGCTGGTTAAAGTTTGGTTAGAAATTTAGCCTCTTTCTGTGTTTCCTTCTGGGCCAATAAGTTAGAGTACATTGGGTATTCAAGTAGGCCAACATATCCTTTTTCTTTTAGTCTACTTACAAAAAAGCTTACCCAAAAGTTTATGAAGTTTCATTAAACTGAAACAGGGCCCCCTGTATAGATAAGTGGATGTATGTCTGAGACAGTGAAATGGATCAATAGGGAAATTACAGAGAGACATTAGGCTATACACTTTCTTAACCTGAGTTTGTCTCCAAAGATCTGCTTTCTGAGTTGATGATGATGGCTGCTGCAATGCCCACAATTGCCTCCTGTAGCCCACTTCTGTTTCATTTGAAGTTTGAAACCTTTGTACTTAATAGATGAACTCTTCATAGATGACAATAGTTAGTTGTTTTTAACCTGCAAGTCAGTCTTAACTGCATTACACTATGTCTCCCAGAAAGGTTAAAGAAAAAGATTGCATGATCACACGTGACTATGTCTAATAAAGCTATACTCATAATCATGTTTGTACTTATGGTTGAATTTGTTCTTACCATCAGAGGAGACTATTTACGATGCTGCAAGATCTGTTACCCCCTCTGTGCTTTTGTTATCCTCGCGGCCTGTGTTGTGGCTTGTGTTGGCTTGGTGTGGATGCAGGTTGCTCTCAAGGAGGATCTGGATGCCCTCAAGGAAAAATTTCGAACAAGTAAGTAGTTACCCTTTTCAGAGTGTAATCTTGGAGTCTTTTCCATGTTCTAGGAGTTAAGTAAGCATTTTGCCTAGTTTGGTGAAGCAATTATACATGTTCTTTACTCTTTCTTAGCTGCCAGTTTGAATGCTCTAACGGTTGTTTGTTTTTAACCCCACAAACATAAACTAGTCCACATGAAATCATGGCATTGCAGTCAGTGTTTAGCATGCATAAAGGGAGTCCAGGAGTCCAGAAGCTTCCATCTCCATCTATAGCCTGAACTTCCCCAAGTATAAAGTGACAATGGCAACACTGGACTATTCTACCACCCAGGGCCACGTGAGAAAGAATATAGACATGTCTGTCAAATGATTTCCTCCTTAAGAAAACCAATATGGGAACATTGTTGTTGGGTACCGTTGAGATGGTTCCAACTCATAGTGACCTTGTATAGAGTTTCCAAAAGTATAAATAAATCATTTCCTCTTCAAAACAGTCCTTTGACATGGGTTTATTATTATTATTATTGTGATTATTATTGTGTTCTTAAGAAAACAAACTTAGAATGATTAACAGTGATTAAATCTGACAGAGCTGAGACTTGTACCTGGTCCTCTTAAATCACTACCATCCTACCTTGTGTTACTGTGCTGTGGGATAAAGCACTGGACCGCTCTGTCAGTTTGAACCACAAGTTCAGTGGTTCAAACTCAACAGACACATCTCGGAAACCCCATGCAGGGTTGCTATGACACAGCACTGAACACCAACAAACAGCTGCATCACTATTCCCAGTGGCCTTGTAAGCTTATGCACCTTTCTCCAAGTACTGACAAATCTCTTTTATATCAAGTTGGTTCAGTAGCTAGAAAAGTTTAGTAGGACTGGAGGAGCTGGTTTTCTGGAGTATCAGTTTTTAAATTTAGACCAAAAACTAATAGATTTCTGTCCTGTCCTTAGCTATGCTTGTTTTGTGACATCTGTTTCAAAGGGGGGAAAAAAACCTAAACCATTAATGAGTAGTATCACATAAGTTTTAGGAAGTCTCTGTGGTTCTTTGAACTAAATTACATATTCATGAATGGCTTATCATAGCCCTACTAATACTGACCTAATAGTGCACAACTAGCAGAAGTATTTGTTTCATGAGGGAGTTTTAAAGTTAAGGGGCTTTAGTCCTGGTGTGGTGATGCGGATTAATGCATTGAACTGCAATGTTGGATTGAACCACAAAGTTGGTGGTTCAAGCTCACCAGCCACTCTGCTTGGAAACCTTACTGTGAGTCAGAACCAACTCAACAGCACTTAATAGCAACAACATTTTATGTTAATGAGTTTTATATATTCTAAATTATAAAGTTGTATTTTACTATCCAATCTACTTTTTTTCTGAAATGTCTATGTTGTTGTTAAGCGCTGTCAAGTCAGTTCCAACCCATAATGACCCTTTATAGGGCTTCCAAGGACCTTGCAGTCCATCACATTAACCCATAGTGCCCCACCAGGACTCCTGCCCTTAGCAGTATGTTGTTGTTAAGTGTCAGTTCCAACCCATAGCAACCCTGTACAGGGTTTCTGAGGCTGTAAATCTTTACGGGAGCAGAACGCCTCATCTTTCTCCTGAGGAACAACTGGTAGTTTCGAACTGCTGACCTTAAGGTCCGCAGTCTGATTTGTAACCACTATGCTACCAGAGCTCCCATGTTTTACAGGCCAGTGTTTTCTTTGTAATAAAAGTAGTGATCAACAAGTTGGGCGTGAGGTTCTTAAAAAGCAGTGTTTAACTTGTAAATAACCACTGAAGATACCTGTGGATGCCATCCTTTGTAATCAGTTGGGCCTCTGAGCTTACACTATAGCTTGTTTTGATCACATATAACAATTATTGATATATCAATTTCAAAACATTTCTTAATGCTGCCCTTCAGGGATTCCTCTCTCTGACAGCTCTGGGCTTATGTTTACAGGAAACTCTTGTAATTTATACCTTCACTCAGTGTTGCAGAAAAAGAAAATTCTTTATTTAGAAATGCATATTTAAAATATAGTCCATGTAATAGATCTGACAGTCAATCAGTCAACAAATATTTATTGAGCACCTGTTAATGCCAGTCCCTGGAAGCACTATATTCAAAACATGCCAGACATTTCACCCTGGCTGGTAAGACCTGCTCTCTACCACGGAGCAGCATTCCCCTGGGATGTTGACTACATTAGTCCACCAGCTGAATAAAGCACATTAGGAAGTGTCAATTCAGGCTGCTTTGTTGACTTTGGCTTGCTACAATGGATATGCCAGCACCTATAATAAATGGAACTTCCTGAAGTAGGGAAGAGGATGGGCCTGAAGCATTCATAGCTCATAGCCTGAACCATTGTGATCCACTTGTCCAAGAGTGTTTTGTACTAAACAAGGTCGAGTTTATTAAGCTTAATCTTTCTTTGAATTAAGCATCTACTTTAAATATATTTTGGTAAGTTGATTTTCATTTCTTGTTTTTCAAGAGGACAGTAGGAGTCCCTGACTCAAATAAGACCACTTGCTTGTCTAATACCTTTTTGAGAAATTCAGAATCTCATGTTCTTTGTTTCAGTATATTTTCCAAGACATTTGGGAGGAGAAAAGGGAAGATTGCTTAAATATCTAACATAGAAAGCAAAGCAGATAGGCTTGGTATTTTTCCTTGCAATGAAAAAGTAACTTGATTCTTATGCTAAAAATGCTAACTGGCCTTTAGATTCTTAGCTCAGTATTCTTTTTCCAGAATGAATTTTCAAAAGAACTCATAAACACTGGAAGATTCTATTCCCATCCATGCCTCTGTCATTCAGCTATGAAACACTAGAGTGAAGGAAAAGAATTTGGACGAGAAGGAAAGAATGACTCTTTTCTGGTCATACAAGTAGTAATGTAATGAAAGGGTTTAGTGAAAAAATTAAAATAACACTTTAGTCATTTAGTAAAAATACCTTAAAAATGGTCTTTTGCTAATGAGAGCATTAGGATGTAAATACCTCTGACAGCTGGAGTATACTAGAAAGAGCTCAGGTCCTAAGGCTTGCATCCTAGGATACGTGCATATCCTAGGTTGCACATAGTCGTTTTTGTTGTTGTTGTTGTTGGTTCCAACTCATAGCACCCTTTATAGGGTTTCTGAGGAGTGATTGGTAGGTTTGAATCACCAACCTTGTAGTTAGCAGTCCAGTTCTTATCCTATAATGCCATACCAGGACTAGCTATAAAACTTGGAAAAAGTTTTTTCCATCCAAAAAATGTGCTACCAGAGCATTTTGGGTATTCTTTATAATAACATCTTCTGTCACCAAACCCAAAATCAAACCTACTGCTATCAAGTCGATTCCAACTCATAACGGTCCTAGAAGAGTAGAACTGCCTCATAGAGTTTCCAAGGCTATAAGTCTTTATAGAAGCAGACTGTCACATCTGACTTCTGTGCAACAGCTGGTGGGTTCGAACCACTGACCTTTCTGTTGGCAAATGAGTGCCTTAACCACTGCATCACCAAAGCTCCTAACATCTGTCATGCTCTATAATAATTCTGTGACTACACCTTATTCCCCATTAGACTGAGAACTTCAGGGTCTTGTTTCATATACTAGTGCCTAGTCCTATTGTGGCGCTGTAGGATAAAGCACAAGGTCTGTTTGAACCGTAAGATTAGCAGTTCAAACTCACCAGCCACACCTTTGGTAACCCTATACAGGGTCAATATGAGTCAGAAGTGATACACAGCATTTAACAACATAACAGTGTCTAGTGCAGGGCTGGGAACGTAATAGGGACTCAATAAGTTGGTGAATAATAATTACATAAAAATTCACTGCAAACTCTAAAAACCTCATATAAAGATCAGATATTGGCTATTGGCTATTGGCATTGTATATGCTCTGTCAAAAATGTTGTATGTCGAAATCTCCATTCCTGATGTTAAAGGTCAGGAAAAGAGCTAGGTAACTTGTTCTGAGTGTTACATGCTTAATTTTAAATGTGTTTCTTTCCATGTTGAAACAACATGAATTAGTAATCTTAAGTTATTTGCTCTGCTTTCTCCCATTTATATAATAAAAGGACCTCTACTTGGCTTGCTACCTAAAAAGACCCAAATCAGATAATGATTATGATCCTTTCTCAGCTCTCACAATCTTTAGGTTCCAGAATGCCCTCAGGGCTTATCAGCTTTATGTATTGATTATTTAATAATTGCACCCCAGTTATTTGTGTGTTATATTCTTCTACTTCTCACTTCTACTAAATTGGCATAGACTGCAAGAAAGGAGATCCCCCTCCTCCCCAAGGGTTTTGTGACCACCTGAGAACAGCCGATGTGGGATGAGTTTTTCTTTCAACCATAACTGGAAATGTGTATGAAACCCAGTAAAATGCTATGTGCTGCATCAGTGTAGTAAAACATTCTTACTATGTGAGCTATGTTCCTGTATGTGTAAATCAAGTGTTATGTTAAAAGCACTTAAGCAGGCCTGTTATTTATAAAAAAAATCTTTTGGCAAGTATTTTTGAAAAAGGATAAAAAATTAATTTCTTTGCATAATTCTTAGTTTTTTAATAGACATGACTAAAGGAAAGATACTCTTATATGTATTACCACCAACACCTCTTACTTTATGGAATTTTTGGTTAAAATTTTGTTGTTGTCTGTTTAACTTAATAAAACAATGTTAATTCCATTTTATATGGTATGGTTATTTTGCTGGACAAGTATTTGAGTGCTTCTGTGTATTTTGCACTATGCTAAGTGCAGGAATGTAAGTAAAGACCTGGTCCCTATCAAGCAGTTCACTGTCAAACTGGTGGAAGAGACAGACGAGTCAAGAGGTGCAGGACAGTGTATTAAGGGCCTGGTAGTTTGGATCCCTGATGGCACAGTGGCAAAGTACTCAGCTGCTAATTAAAAGATTGGTGGTTTAAACCTACCATTTGCTTCATGGGAGAAAGATGTGGCAATCTCCCAAAACATTTATTGTTGTGTGCCATC